ATATATATATATATATATATATATATATATATATATATATATATATATATAAGTATGTATGCGTATACACATGTATATGTATATACATATTGGAAAGAGAAAGTGTAAATGTAAATTATTTATAATTTCACTGAACATTCTGTGTGAGTTGATGGTTTTGGTTTATTTTGCAGTTTATCCTTATCCATTTAATAAGAAGAAAGTTCTTAACAACAACACCGACATTATCGTTAATACTTTAATAACAACAGATCTTCTGTATATTTAAACTATTTAAACTTCATATTTTATTAATAGATGGGGGGCGATATCTTATGTACTGATTAAAGAGAGTGAGAGAAACATTGTATTGTGGTTCTAAAGGGTATCTATTAACGAGGTCACATGTGCATGTTTTCACGTCTCCCATGAAAAGTCCAATTGTCATAATGTATTGCTGGCGAAACACTATGTACTAGAACTTTTCTATTTAAACAAATTTTATTTATATGACAAAGTTGATAAAGGTATGATCATCGATGACAAATGTACATATATGTATATGTACATTTAATTTTTTGTGTTATGCATATTTAGTTTACTTAATAATTAATCTTTGATAAAAACAAGTTGTTTCAACAACTTCGTCACAATTTTAATACTTCCTCTACTGGAGTACAATAAAAGGAGTTTGAAAATTAATGAACAGCTTTCAGGACTTGCATGTGCTGGTAAAATACCAATGATTGGCAGTGTAGATTTGTGCATATACAATTACCATTTAACAGTATGATGAATCATGTTTATTTACAAAATAATAATTTCCTACCTGTACAGCATTATTTCTATGACAAACTAAAAACTGTAGCTACATATGCTAAAAATATGAAAAAACTTTAATCTATTGTTAATAATTTAACGCTGATACTGAAAACATATGTTATAATTTGCGCAGTTTTCAATAGCCTTTAAATGTACCAAATTATAACCAGTGTAATATCCGAAAGTAAAATATTTTCTCTTATTATTTTGTACCTTCTATTTTCATCTAAAATTATTGTCATGTTTTTTCATTAATAAATTTGTCCACAATATCTATTACATACTCTCAACAGTTATAAGTTACCTCGGTACATGGAATATTTATATTAATGCTCTTTCTGTAAAAAGTTCTCAATTTAATTTCCATAATTAAAAGTATTGGTACGTAACAATGACGGATTTACATCATGACAGAATTAACATATATCTTTTATATTATAACGTTCCAAAGTCATAGAACACGTATTAACGATAAGAAATGAAATTGTAAAAACGTATTAGTGTGAGATGAATATTCAGAATGTTCTTATAAATATATATATGCACAATCTATGCAACCAATAGGCACACAACGACAAATGCACAGGCGGTCGATGTAAAAAGATACACGTGAGACAGTAATTTCACAGAACTTTCATTAATAATACGCCTTTGAACAGATTAACAACTGAAAATAAAGATCTGATTGATAATTGAAAACCAATTACGATTCATTTGTATGTATTTTATTCTATCAGATGCATGGCGTGAGCATTTATCGAAGACGTACGTACAGCGGTTGTCTTCCAAAATGGACCAAATCTAAGACATCAAAGTATTCACTAGTTTGCAACATGAAAAGTCTTCTCAGTTTTATTGTTACAGCTCTGATTTACTGCATAAGCAATAAATATAAGAATCGAAAGCGGACAATTATTTAGAGTAGTCTCGTCAAATTTTTACATCACCGAATGCCGATATTTTTACAACGCTCTGGTCACATTGTACAGCGTACAATAATGTCTTATTCACGTGCGTTAAGTTTGAATTTACCTATCGTGCACAAGGTCTCCCGTAACAGTTATTTTCACAATATAACTGTCGATTCAGTTGCTCGATAATAAATGTATTCTTTTTTCGCTTCATTCGCATCTGTCTCTCATTTTGAATAATAATTAACATTTAGTTTCTAATTGTCTTAAATTTTCCTTTCTTTTTTTTCTTTTAATTCCATGTCAAATACTACACGAATGTCTATAAATATGCACACAGGTGTATGTGTGCGCGCGTGTATACAAATAAAGCGTTTCGATTGATCGCAACACTGACAATACATTTGTTTTTTATAAAAAGAAAGAAAAAAACGAGAAGACTTTTATGATTGTTAGAGGAAAATCAGAAAATTGCTGTAATACCAAAAAATATAGGTGCTGGACATTGAATACCGTGAATTTTAAGGTGCCTTTACTCTGTTCGCCGCAAAGAAACTACCACTAATCTATTCATGACCGTGAATTTCATTTCCGCTAATACTATCTAGAAAATAATCATCGATTCTTCGTTTTTTTTTTCCGAAACCTATCATACACTTTTACCGTCTCCTAATTGTTATTTGTTTTCGCGAGTGAGTGGACGGAACACGAGTTATTCGAAACGAGTGTACAAGATTATATTTAATTTAATTTAATTTAAGCACGAGAAAAACATCTTCTGTAGAGGTAAATTCAGAAGACTAAAGTATTAGAGTTTTGTTTCGAACACGGAAGATTGCTTTTGAAATTAAGTCACTTGGAAAATATCGACGTCACGATATAATTGAAACGTGTATAACGTTCACGGAAGAAAAGATATAAATCAAATCGAAAATAATTTACCTTGATGGTTGTATATTATGGTTCGCAATCAGTTCATCGCGTTATTGGAATGTAAAGTGTATAGAACCTTCGTTGTTCCTCTCCGAGTAAGAATAATGGAAATTTTAATACACATTCGTAATATCTTATCTCTTCCAATTTTTTGTTCGATATAAAGCGTATAATGTGACTACTAAGCGTTTCATTCGATCGGTTTTATCGGACACCATTTGGTTTCTAATACAGTTCTCATGTACCTAGTTTGAACAAATAGTTTTCATAAAATGTTACTATCGTTTCCGCAAAACTGATTTAGTCAAAATAATCAAATTTGCTTTCCATTCGAAAAGAAGAGTTAAGTACATTACGGTGTAGATATAGTTTTATACGAACACTGTACATTGTATAATATCGTACTCAAAACTGCGAGCAGTATATACAATAATATAATGATCGAAAAGTTCAAATGTATGATTTGATCGATTTCTTCTGAATTTGGATTGGCTGATACTTTCCGTTCAATGCATGTATCCAGAGTAGTGCTACGACGAAATTCAAAAATTTTTTTCTTTTTGTTTTTTTACTTAATAAATGTTATTTTAATGGTTGACAATTTCATTAGCTGTGAAAAAAATGAATATTACACGGAGTAGTTTGATTTTCCGATCCTTCTAATGTGTTTAAAGGTATTTATCAGGTTTTTGTTTTTTTCTTCTTCTTTTTTCTACGAGAAGTGTGGGTATGTGTGCGCGCATGTGGATACCACGTGCAGTATATGAAGACAAACATAATAGTGACTGAACGAAGCTGATTAACAAATTGAAAAAAAAAATATGCGATATTAAATTACTCTGTATATTTGTAAATATCCGATAAGTTCTATGTCAGAGTAAATATGGATAAAGAACGATACAGAAATCAGATACTCATTTGTAAAGAAATCAGTACAGGGGATATACACAATAGTTAGCACGGAATTTAAGGATTATTGCTATTGACGCTAGACATGCTATAATTATACATAATAAAGTATATTATGTTGATCTTCTAAAAGCCGTAAAAAATTATGGATATAGTAGTATGTAGTTTTACATATTATACCTGTCACATGTGTAGAAGTTGCATTCCACGTCTAAGTTTTTAAAGAAACAAATAAATTACTTTTGATCAAACATGTCAGTTTATTTTTCACCAAACATACTTCATAAACTCGCGACGAGCACGTATGTACTTTAATATACATCGCAAATGTACAAGTACTATTAATAATATTACAGACACATTAATATATTACTCAACTACATTACGGGATACAATAAGTTAATAATATTTAAATATTAATAAAAAGACGAAATGAATTCTGTTTGTCGTATTACGTAAATAAATTTGCGCTTATTTTATTTTAATATCAACTATACGAATATTCGTTACTCAAAATTCATTTTCATCTTTAACACCATTTCTACCGAATTTCAACTTAAAATTATTTTCTCAATTTAATCATTTTTCTTCAATTGAATTTTGGATATTTACTACAGTTAATTTTACAATCGTCATTAGAAAAGTCGAAAAGTCAATTCATAATGTACGACTAAATTTGCAGAATAATTTTAAGTTGAAATTTCAGAAGTTGTCTTTTGACAGCTCGATAGAAATAGTGTTAAGGTTCTTTTGCATTATAATTTAATACGAGGTAGAAATACAAATAAAATGAAAATAAAAATGAAGAGATTAAACTTTATAAATAGTTAATGTTAAATGGAATGGATAATTTCTGTTAAAAAGGATACCACGTTTTTAAAATATTACAGGAATACGGCAGTTCAAACAAAGGAAAATTGCATTTTGTGACGTTAAATCGCAATAATAGCAGGTAGAATGTTAATAAAAAAAGCAAATAAAGAAATTAATAAAATATATATAACAAAAATAAAATCACGTGATACTTGTAGGGATGTAACGAAACGATAAGAACAAATTTTTTACAAATTTTACTCAATTAATACATTACTAATAAAAACCAAAAAAAATGTAGTTATTTTGATACTGAAAAGTGTGTACAAGAATATGTTAAAGAGTTTTCATTTGATAGATAAAAAAGAAAAGCTTTACATGTTTAAACTTGTTACAAGTAAATACAGACCTGTTGATTAGAAAATAGTCCAATGAGAGATCTATTACGCGCGAGACACGGTGTCACTATGTTTAAGTTGAACAGACAGTGTAGTATGATTAAATCGAATTTAAATCGAATTGCGACATAGTATTCTAAGCATATATAAAAGTTTTAAAATATATTTAGCAGTGCTATAAAACGATTTGAATTGCGCGAAAAAACTGATGGGTATAACTTCGTAGCTTACGCTTATTAGTTTATAATTGAACCTCATATAACATCTAAGCACTTTATTAAAATAAATAAAGATTTCATGGACACCCTGTGCGTAAGTAATAATAAGAAAAAATCCGTTTTTGAATGCTTATAGCGTTACATAGATACTTACATACATCATGAAACGAAGAAATCTTAAACGATCGGTGATGTGTCAAAAGTTTAAAGCACACACTTGGAGATTTATATGAAAAGTATGAAAAATGGAGAGATAAAACAAGTTAACGAAGAACTTCTATTTGTGTCATTTGACTTTGTCTCAAATATTATATATACATTTTTTGGAAATGATATTGCGAAGTAGTAAATGAAACTTTGGAGTTCTGACATCAATTGATCTGGTAAAATCTAAGTAGTTCTTACATTTAATTTACATAAAGTCTATATTATAATACATCACATTTTCGAAACATCTTTTCTACATTTAGAATAAGAGATTTAACCTATACTCTGTACGATTTTGCTATACTTTTCCGGTAAATGTACGCAGCTTCTAGAAAACACCGTTGTCTGCTTGATGTGTCACGTGACAATTTAGCCATGCACCTTTTATTCAACATGGCGACCGGCAAGAGACTTGCAATCGTTTTTCGACCAAAGACTATTAGTTTAATTAACAATAGTACATTAAGTAAATTGTCAGGTGGTATCGTGCAAACATGTAACACATGTAATCGACCTTTTGCAACAATTACATTGGGTGTCGGCAGTTGGAATTCGAAGAAACCAGAAAAAGGTAATGTACACTTTTACTATAAAGAACGCAGATTACATCACGCACATTTATGCGAATCTGATTTGTGTTTTGAATTAATTCACGTATTAAATAAGTTCTAATATCGTAGAACAATTTCTTATTTCTAATTACATATATCTTCACGGATGTCGTCTAGTTTATTGTTTCTGTAGAGCATCTTTGAAGTGAATTAACCTTACATTTCACATGCTTTCTGCATTTACTAATCACATTTGTTTACAATTGTTTAATGAAATATTTAGTATTTTCTAGTTGAATTAATATGTATTAATGTAATTATCAGTTATTATTAAAATGATATTCTCAACTGTTATAATCAATTTGTTAAGGTAAAAGTAAGAAAATTGTAAGAAAATAAACATAAAATCACATTTAACTCTTTGCATTCTTTTATTTATTTAATTTTGACCCACAATAATACAGTTTATTGTTAAACATTATTAAAATTATTTCATATATTTTAAAATTAATAAAATTGTCTGTTTTTTTGTAAATGTATGTATATTCAGTAGTTTATCAATGTCACATTATATTTTAGAAAAATTTTAATCGAAAGACAAAGTACAGAGGCACAATGGTACAATTAATTTTATGACATTATGGTAATATGTATCATAAATTTTGGTAGTAATTATCACCGAAATGATATTTTTAAACATAATTGCAGATGTAATACAAAATTTTCAATCAACTCAAAGAAGTATATATACTACAAATAGTCTTTTAAAACGTACTTATTATGACGTATTGGGGATACCCAAGAATGCTTCAGCAAAAGACATTAAAAAAGCTTACTACCAATTAGCTAAGAAATATCACCCTGACACAAATAAAGGAGATCCAAATGCTAGTAAAAAGTTCCAAGAAGTTTCCGAAGCATATGAAGTATTAAGTGATGAGACTAAAAGAAAGGAATATGACACATGGGGTGCAACATCAGAACAAATGTCAATGGGTGGCGGTGGTGGTGATTCTAATCACACCAGAGGTTTTGGCTCATCTTATCACTACACGTCAACCATTAACCCAGAAGAATTGTTTAGAAGAATATTTGGGGATGCTGGTTTTCAAAGCAGTGCATTTAGTGATTTTGAAGATTTTGCTGAGTCAAAATATGCTTATGCTGCAGCTCAAGAGGTATATATAAATACATATATATATATGTATGTACAAAGAAAAAATTTAGTTGGATTTTGATTTTTAATTGGTAGAATTTAGGGATACATACCAGTTCACTGATAACATGTCAATTTGCTAGAGTTCCTCTCATATTTGTATTAATATACAAAAATAAAGTAGAAATAAAATAAACTCTGAACAGATTTATGTTATAAAAACTATGTTATAGATATAATATTTTTATGAATCTTGTACTTAGGTTGTCATGAATTTGACATTTTCGCAAGCTGCCAGAGGTGTGAATAAAGAAGTTGTTTTAAATGTAGTGGACACTTGTGTCAAATGTTCAGGTTCTCGATGCGAGCCGGGAACAAAAGCAGTAAAGTGTCCATATTGTAACGGTACTGGAATGGAAACAGTTAGCACGGGTCCTTTTGTAATGCGTGGTACTTGTCGTTATTGTCATGGTACGAGAACATATATTAGGTACAAGTGCACCGAATGTGAAGGAAAAGGACAATCGGTATGAATGTTTTACTGGATTTTAATTAAAATGGTCATCAAAGAATCTATAAATTTAGTAATATTTTCAATATTATATAATATATATATATATATTTAATTTAAAATAGGTTCAACGTAAAAAAGTGATAGTTCCAGTTCCTGCTGGTGTTGAAGATGGTCAAACAATTCGGATATCTGTAGGTAACAGAGAAGTATTTGTAACATTCCGTGTGGAAAAATCAAAGTACTTTCGAAGAGATGGCGCAGACATACATACAGATGCTGAAATTTCATTATCGCAAGCTATACTTGGTGGCACAATAAGAATAGAAGGAGTTTATGAAGACCATACTGTGCAAATTCGGCCGGGTACTTCGTCTCATACAAAAATTAGACTTACTGGTAAAGGTTTAAAAAGAGTGAGTGGTATAGGATATGGTGATCACTACGTTCAAGTTAAAATAACAGTACCTACAAAACTAAATGATAAGCAATTAGCGTTACTTCAAGCCTATGCAGAACTAGAAGATCATACTCCTGGCAGTATACATGGTATTACATACAAAACAGATGGTAAGAATCAATAAATTTTAATTCATAGAATTTTATAATTAAAGTTAATTAAGTATGAGTACCTGAAAGATGATGTATGAATTTTTATGACATTCTTTTTCTATTGAAAGTTGCTTGATTCTGTGCAACATTTTAAATAATATTTCTTATGTGATCTCTGTTTTTGATAAAAGTATGTAGGGTTAGTGCTGTGTGTCGCTTGAGTTTCTTTACATGTACCTGCCCTTGCTAATTAAATAAAAATATAAAACTTCATATATGCGTTTCATTGATGTTCGATAGTAATATAAAAACTTGTTTGTGAAAAACGAAAAAAAATTAACAAACTGTTTATATGTCTAATTTAACATAAAGTATTTATTTTTCGTATTTTTGTATTAAATTACTTCCCAATGAATCATATATTCTTTTAGGCACGGCAGGTCCAAACCCAAAGACTCAAGCGAAACAAAGTGCAGAAAGTTATTCATACAATCAAAATAATGGTTTATTTAATAAAATTAAAAAAGCCATATTTGGATAATTGAAATATGAAATGGTGAGTGCATAGTTAGGATAATATATTTAAAATATTTCTAATTTCAAATACTTCAAGTACTGTTCGTTTAAGTGTCCGAATTTTTACCTGTTACATCGTAATGTATACCAGTTTTTAGAACTGAGTTTCAAAGAACTTGGGATCTATTACTAAAAGGTTTTTTCACAATTTGTAAATTTGTATTTTCTCTTGCCGAATATCGATTGCAGACGTTAAAACGTTCAATGCGGAAGGGTTTGTACAATTTCAATCCTAACGACGAAACTTTTTTCAATTTTCATTTGCTTAGTTGTATTTTAAAATGGTTGAAAATTCACTATTTATAAAGATTTATAATGAATGATTTATAAAGATTTACATTGAATATGTTAAGTGAACAGTACTGTGTTTTATTTGGAATAGAAGAATCATTATATTTATTTTCACATTTATTGCTGCAATTAAATAAATATATTTGAATTACAGGTACAAAAGAAAGCTATACTGGCCCTCTGAATTTAGTGGAATCTATACGAATAGCATTAAAGGATGAAGACAATTTACATAAACAGTCTGCATCTTTTGAATCTAAAGAACCAGGAAGTCAACCTGAAAATAGTACCAGAAGAAAAAATTGTGCAGCAAATGAAGACATTGATGAAAAGCGAAGGCAAAAAGTGTTATAGTTCAATGTTAGATTTTTCAATTGTTAGAAATATATTCGCACATGCAAGTCGTAAAAGAAATAAAGGCAAAAGTTAATAAATACAATTACATTAAAAACAAATAAATTTAAAGACAATGATTTTAATTCTATGGTATTTTCTATGTAGTTCCTTAATTAGTGTTATTGTTTGATTTATATATAAATTTATTATTGATATAATGTACCAAATGCATTGAGAGATGAAACTTACGCCACTCATTTAATAAATAATGGAAACTACTTTGTTATAAATTATATTAAAAGATTAGGATCTTCATCTTGCAGTGAAACCAAAATCATATAAAACTAAATCTATATAACTAAATATATATATAATTTATTAATTTAGTTATATTGCTTTCGCACGCAGGGGTAATATACAGATAATTTCATTTATAAAACTATACAATCGTTAAAATTTCAATTTTCATTATTTTTGTGTTCAATTCTTTACAATGTACGTATGTATTAACAAAGGTAAGAGTCGAAACTTCGCTATAAAAAAAAGTTATATATATATATATTTTAAACCTGAAGTAGGAATTATAAGAATATTTTAACAGTTTTACAGATTATTATGTTAATGTATTAATTGGAATTTTTGTTTCGTAAGAAATTGTGAGGGAAGATACTACCATTTTACTATAATCTTTACAATTTTAATTCTCATAAATACTATCATAATTTATATTATGTAGTTATTTTGTTCTTTATATTTTCTTACAAAATTAAACATTTTTTAAA